GTAACAAAAATTACTTCTGCAGGATTTTCCCCAATCTTATATTTTTATGCATTTTTAATCTAGAAAATAAATAAAAAATCTATTAATAAAAATATTAACATTGACAATTTTTAGATTATTGCTTTTGTAAGCCAAAAGGTCCTCTTCCTTTTAGCTACCACTCACCAGAGAGAACCTCTGCACTCCTCACCATTCCTCCTCTCTGCAATTTGTTTTAATTCCGTATCTTTTCAGACTGATGGTAACTAGAACAGCATGCAGTATTTAACATGGTAAAGCAGAAAGTGACTATGCAAAAATGTAAATATACAATGGAATACTTGCAAAAATCCCTCTAAAGAAACACAAAAACATTAACATGAAGAAATGAGGTAGGAAGCTGTTAGCACAGAGAGCATGAAGCAAGCCACAAAGCCTTTTGCCTAAAACAAGGTGAGCTACATAAAATACAGTACAGCTTAGCAATGATAAAGATAAATGATATAAAATGTTTGCATTTTCCCCAGGGACAGTGATGGGAAATATGCTGGTATTTTCTGTCTTGTTTCTGAGGAATGAGACTGCAACTACTGTTTCATTACATTGAAAATTTTTAACTCTAATGCTGTCACTTACTCTAGGAATAAAAAAAAATTTCCATCTTTTGAACAGAAGAATCTGAAGGATTAAGAAAAGACAGTATGTGCAAAATGACATGAATACAAAAGAATTTTTAATTCCCTTCCCCCTCAGTACTTTGGAGGAGGAAACATTACAAATGAATGCAATGCAACAAAGGACATAGTGACAGCAGACAGTAACTGATGAAGTAAGGCATAATGGAAAGAGTATAGAAAGCAGTACTCCAACTTGTTTCCACACTCAGGGGCATGGATAGAGATAAGCTGTACCATATGCAATTCAAGATAGTTTTAAAAAAAGAATGTTTCTTGAATCATCAGCAAAAGGTAGCACACAGCTGAAACCAAGTACATTTAGTATTTTTCTTGATGTGATTTATCCACTTAACTTTTAAGACAAGACACTTGTAATAGGAACAAACACTTTCTGAGTGAGCAGGGAAAAAAAACGCTCTGAGCTCTTCAACACATCATACAAAATTTCAGTCCTTCCCTGAAGCACACTTACAGTTCACTGGAAATGTATTTTTCAACCAAAAAAAAAAACCAAAACACCCAACTGAAAAAACTAAAAGTCTTAGTTTACTGTATGCTGCCTGGTTTAACATCTTGCATTAACATTTGCCATTAACAAACCATTCATGACCATTGTTGGAAGCTGATTTAACACTGAAAACATGCCTCCTACAATGTTTTAGTTGACACTTCAAGTACTCTACAATTATAGTTTCAGTTAACTACACAATTTGCGTACTAGAAGTATGATGAACAATGATACCAAACCAGGGGTTGTCAGGTCAGTCAAGGCATGTACTCAGGCCACTGAAAAGCAGTAACTGGAAGTGAGTAAAGTTATGTAAACATAAAGCACTTCAAAACTTGCCCTGCTGACATGCCTATGGGACTGCTTATAAATTATAATCAATGAAGAAGGCAGCAGGAATGCCCTTTAATTCCACTGATAGCTTTACATCAGGTCTTACTGTAGAAATATGGCAATGTCCGTCACATTTATTTTCAATTAGGTACTTAAATGGCAGATCTGCATATATGCACATGTCCAGATTCAGGGAATTATCAGCAGAAACAAGCCTATAATCCTTGACTGGACTGAGGAAGGTGAGAAAGAAATACTGTAAAAAAACGAGGCCTGCAATAGGAGGCCATCATCCTTGGGGCCTGAGGAAAGAATCCTTCCTGCTGTCCATCCCACTAGCTGTCAGGAGAGATGTGCTACACACTCATCGAGGTCTAACGGAATTTTGGGGAAGGTGTGGAGGAGGAGTAAATTCATATTACAGTGTTTTCTTTCACTGGGCTAATTACTGGGCTCTGTGATGACAAAGAAATTTTTTAAGATCAAGCTAACCCAAGAAATAGCAGCAGCATGGCATACGTCTAAAACTGGTATCATGTATTGCTTGTGACAGAAGCCTAAGGTTTGTCAGATAACTCAGCTACAAATCTGGACCTCATTCACTCCAGAAACTTTTCTCATAGTTCCTGCAGATGGGGAAATTACTGCAGAGTGCCCTCTGCTTGTATTTGACTACTGATTGATAATCTTTGCTATGCTACAATTAAGGATTAAAGTATGCAAACCCTCAACATTGTCTCTTCAGACAATTCTATTATCCAGACACATAAGACATGAAGGAATAGGAGTAGCCTATTTCAGACACACAAAAAAATCCATTATGATGCCTTGCCTGAGCAGCCAGGATGAAATTTCTTCACGAGAAATACTGAACAGATCCAAGTGAAATTTCTCGAATTCTGTAAAAAAAAAACCACCCTACTTCATGCCTTCTCACTAGGTAGGAACTCTGACAGAAGAAATGAGTTTCCACTACTATGTTTTTGCCTTCATGATGTCATCTGGAGTTTTCCCTTTAATTTGGGGGTTATCTTTTCTCAGTAGCTTGCTCCAGCAGTCAATCTTTCTTACAGCTTACACTTTCCACTGCTTAGGAAAGATACAAGTGATGTAATTTCAGTTAGTGTTAACATTATAGAGAGCACTTGGAATATCAGTGAAAAATGTTATTTCCCACTTGGTTGCAACAGTGAAAACAAAGCTGCCTGCTTTCAGACTTTGTAGTACTTTATACCGATTTTACATACATTCCAAATGTGAGAATTATCTAATTAGGAGAACCAGAAACAAACTATCTAAAAGTACATCCAGCGTTGGATTCTACGGAAACTGTCAACAGATTTTCAATGTACCCAACAAATTTCACTACGAATAAATCAGATCCGGTTTTAGCCCCTTCATGTGTGAGTAGGCAGCAACACTCCATTTTCTAATAAGGACTGAAGCAATACACACAAGGTGACCATCAACCTCCCATGGCAGGGGGGTTGAAATGAGATGATCTTAAGGTCCTTTCCAATCCCAACTATTCTATGATTCTCTGATCAATAACAATATTAAGCCCTATGCAGCTTATTAGACAGTTCTTACATTTCTAAAATATAATAATACACTAAGATACAGTATCTGTCTTACCTGAATATTATCAAATTTTAATCCAGGCATGGTGAGATTTTCTTTGTCTATGAACACGGTGCTGTACTGTTGTGTGGCAACTGAAATTAGAACATTTCTGGTTTCCTCGCTAGGAAGCCAAGCATCATTTCTTCTATCTAGTTCACTCATATTTAAGGCTGTGGCAAATGGGTCATCACTGCCAGCAAAAACAGCCTGGATTTGTGAGAATGGCTTGGGGGACTGAGTGGTTTCTAGAGCTGATGGAGGACCACCTGCTTCAGGTCTCCTGTTTCGCACAGAGAAAGTTGGGTTAGATGAAGCACAGGTACTGTCTCCGCCATTAGAAAGAGAGGACATTTGCTCTGGAACTGAAGAGTTTGCATTGGGATTACTAACAGAAATAAAATTGGATGTGGTAAATGAATCAAAAAAATCAGAAGCTAACGTATTAGTGTTAACAGTATCACCAAAGAATTTGCTTAGACTAGGACTTGGTTGAACCACCTGTGGATTAGTCTTCACTGGAGTCTCAATTATACTACTAAAACTGGGAGATTTTACCATCTGAGGCTCAAAACCGTCAGGTAGACACAATTGTGGCTGGTTATTAACATTGTTTGCCTGGCTGAAGATTGTACACACAGGAATAGGCTCAGGCTCAGAAGATGGTTTGTTAGTACTGGGTGATGATATCTGATCCTCAGGTTTTCTTTCATCAGTATTATTTGGTTTTGTTTCAACAGGAACATTGTTTTCCAACTTTGGTTCCTCCTTCACCACTTCCTGAATTGATTCTTCCTTTAAAGAAGCTTGATCGTCTGTTCCAATCTCAGAGATGTCTTTGGGGGTTTCTTCATGCTCAGTTTCACTCTCATTACTTAAAAACTCTTCTTTATCCACTTCTGTTTGTTTTTTTTGGTTATCTTTAGCTTCCATTTGTTCTACAATCTCCTGGAGACAACCAAGTTCACCTGTGTCATCTTCACTGTTGTTTGGAGAATCTGAAATAATGACACTCTCCATCATCTGTTCATTAAGTTTACCCACAAAATTATTTGAGTCTTCTGACACAGTTTCATTCCCTTCACACTCAAATTCATCCCCACCAAGATCAATGGTTTCCTCATGAAAGAGAATTTCTTCTTGAGTTTTCTGTTGAACTAGGTCTCTGCTGTCACCTTGATCTGAGGTGCTCTTTGCATCCTTAGGATCACTTTCTTTACTCTCCATGGTAGCTGAAGAGTGGGAAATGCCCACCAAAACAAGTGTTAGTTTTACTACTCAGGTACTGCTCAGGTGCCACTCTGAAATTCCTAAGCATCATGCAAATACTTAAATCCTGCTTTAAAAATACAGTAATTTCACTAATTGACATCTATCTACAGAATTATTTCTGAAAAACGCTTTATCTTTTCCCTTTCTGTAAGTCGCAAAAACATTGGGATTGAAGACCACAGAACGATATCCGCTTTTCCGTCCGCACAGACTAGCTCGGTCCCCATTCAGGAAAAGAAATGAGGGGGCTCACGGCAGTCACCAGGGCAGGCGCCGAGCCCGTCCCGGCCGCGGAGGGAGCTGAGCAGCAGCAGCAGAGCTGCCTTTCCCCAACTCCCGGAGCCCAGACCCACAGCCGCAGGGCCCCAGGCCTGACCGCCCCGCGGCAGGGCGGACATGGCCTCCAACCCGCGTAGGCCCCGCCGCCCTCCCATGGCGTTGGGGACCCAAGGACACCTTAGCGTTCGCCCGTCCCTCAACCACCCCTAGGCCCGCACACTCACCCAGGCTCCCCCTCACCTTCGCGCCCCAGCACTGACACCCCCACTCCACCACCGCTCAAAGTACCGCACCCCACAGCGCCTGCGCCATAGGCAGCATTACGCATGCGCCAAAGCACCACCCGGAAGCGGCTAGCGACGGGCAGCGCCAAGGGCCAGAAAGCCGGTGGGCAGTAGGGTGTGCCGTATAGTAGAGCTACGATGGAGGACGATGCGCCTGTGATTTACGGGCTGGAGTTCCAGGTGGGCGCTGGGGGTAGACTGAAGGAGGCAGAGCGGGTGTCAGTCCTATCTTTAGGAAGGCGGCGGCTGCAGGCTGTTTTTTGCAGTGGGGTAGGCGAGTGCTGGTGTGGGCTGTGGGGCCCCTTGAGGGGGATGACCGGCGTGCCCTCATCCCCCTGTGGCGGTGCCGGTGGTACCACTGGCTTTTGGTAGTTCTTGGTACCTGCTCTTCGTGTTGGAAAATTTAAAGGTGGCTGAGCAGGGGACAGGAGTTTGTTCTGAAACTTGCTGTTTCCAGGGCGGGTGTGCCAGTGTCGGGGCTGAGGGCCCAGGGGGTTTCCTTCATAGACGTGCCCAGCCTGGCTGGAGGGACTCCTGCTCTGCCACGAGTCCTTGGTCCGCCTCTGGAGGACTGTTTGACTCTGGGTTGTACGAAACCAGCAGAAGTCTCAATGATGTTTTTGTACATGTTTATTCCTTTTCAGAAATAATGATAATAAAAAAATGCTGTTGTGAGGCAAGGGCATGAAACTGTTTCTTACAAACTGCCAGTTTTGGTTGGTTATACTCAGCTGTAAAGCTACTTGATGTCTGTGGGATCTCTTGCTGTGGGTTCCATTTCTGTGCATTTGTCTCATAGGACAAATTTGTCCATCATACTGGTATTTATGGTTATAAGCAAAGGGGACTGTCAAACTCAAGAGCCCACTGACCATCTTCACAGAGGAGCGCAGGTCTCATGTTTAATAAAGTTTCTACAAGTTCTGGGAAAACAAACAGCTAGGTAGCTGGAGCATTGAGAGGAACCCTAATTTATGATTCTTTCCCACAATAAGGGTTTTACTTAGCTTTTACATGTTCACTTTGGCAACAGCTGGCTTATTGTTGTTGCCATTATAGCAGTAGTAGGAGTTACTGTGTTTCTTCTGCAGCTTACAGAGCTGTGTTTTCATTCTACAGTAGATGCCGTAATATAGATATGTACATATGCACTTATTTTTTGTTAGGCACCTTTACCAAAGTGCTCGTGGAAAATAATACATGAATTTTCTTCATGAAGGTTTGGGTGTCTGCCTCTGAGTTGTGTGCTTTGTCATCCTGACTGTATCAATAGTTATCCATAGAAAATGGTGTATTTGTTTGGATTTCTTCTTGTATAGGAGCTAGTGTGTAATATTAATTTGTATTAAATGTTGAATCTAGTGAAGTCTGGTAATATACTGTTGTTTTGTGATTGGCTAGAGATGGCTGTAACTTACACTTCAAACTTGAAATATCTTTTTGCAGAACAGAACATACATCCTGTACTTAATAAAACTCATAGCTTCCTTCTAGTGGGTCATATGTAATAACTTCCAGAAAGTTTGGGAAGCTAGTCTCTGTGTTGTATGGGGCCATCATGGTCCTGTGTCCCCCACAACAACAAATCATAAAACTCCTTCAGATCTCTTATCTTTTGGCAAAGCAACTGGGCTATCTGGTGGCTGCATAAAGCAGAAGGACTCAGAAAGTGGTTTAATTAGAGGGAATTGCAGTTAATACAGATCACTTAGAAAGTGGGGAAAGAAAAGGTGGTTTATGACTAATTCGGAAAAGCAGTGTTGTGGTGAAGATTCTATTTCTCATCTCCATTAACTGCCAGTGTGGCTTTCAACCAAATTGCATGTTGGTGCTTTCTGAAAAAAGCTGTGATGGAAAGACTTAAACCTAAAACTGGTCTGGCTTTTCCAGTTTGAATCTCCAGGCCTAGTAAGAAAGATTATGATGTTTTTCAGGCCTGTTCTATTCTCTGTTGCTAGACTGTAATGGCTAGCTACATTAGCACAACTACTGCTTCTTTCTGGTGTGTGTCAGAAGCACTGTGTCTGAAAGCATTTCTTCAGATGAGTTTTTCAGCCCAGTTTGAAGAATTTTGTTGTTTTTTTAAATTTATTTTTGTTGTTTGTTTTTGTCATTATTTCCGAACTTCAACTCTATGATGAATTTATTCAAAGTTGAGATTTGAAATTATAAAGTGTTTAAAAGGAGGGTGGGATCTTCTTACTCTTGTTATAAATAAAAATTGTATGTCACAAACCCATGACATCTAGAAACTACATAAGGAATTGCAGACTAAGAAGTTACACGATGTGACAACTGACTGGGTAGATGAGGGGAGAACTGGATGTTGTCTACCTGGACTTCAGCAAGGCTTTGCACACTCTCTCCCATGATATCCTGATAGGCAAGCTCAGGAAGTGCAGGGTCCTGTGTCTGGGGGGAAATAACCCCCTGTACCTGTACAGGCTGGGTCCAACCTCCTGAAATGTAGATCTGTGCAGAGAGACCTGGGGGTCTTGATGGACAGCAGGTTGTCCATGAACCAGCGATGTGCCCATGTGGCCAAGAATGCCAAGAGTATCCTGGGCTGTGTTAGGAAGAGCATTCTCAGCATGTAGAGGAAGGTGAGCCTTCCTCTCTGGTGAGGCTTCATGAGGAGTGCTGTGTCCAGTTCTGGGCTTCCCAGTATCAGAGAGACATGGAGCTCCTGGAGCAAGTCCAGCAAAGGGCTAGAATGATTAAGGTCTGGAGCATCTCTCTTATGAGGAAAGGCTGATGGAGCTGCTCCTGTTCAGCCCACAGAAGAGAAGTCTCGGGGGGGATCAATGGGAGTAAGTATCTGAAGGGAGGGTGTCAAAAGGATGGGGCCAGGCTCTTCTCAGTGATGACAGGATGAGAGGCAATGGGCATAAACTAAAACAGGAAAATCTGAGCACGAGGAGCTACTTTACTGTGAGGGTGACTAAGCATTAGAATAAGTTGCCCAGAGACATTGTAGAGTCTCCTTCCCTGGAAATACTCAAGACCCGTCTGGACACAATCCTGAGTAATGTACTTGAGGTGACGCTGCTTGAGCAGGGAGGTTAGATTAGGTGATCTCCAGAGGTCCCTTCCAGCCTCAACCGTTCTGTGATTTGGCCACTGCTGGAGAAAATGAAAGACATATTGTTCTGGGTTCAGCAGTAGCTGTCATGTTTCTCCTTCTTGGTAGCTGGTGCAGTGCAGTGTTTTGACTTTCGGCCTGGGAACAGAACTGATAGCGATGTTTTGGTTTGGCGAAGGACTTTGTGAGCCTCATGCTCTGCCAGGGAGGAGGGGAAGCCAGAAGGAAGCAGAGACAGGACACCTGACCCAAACTGACCAAAGAGGTATTCCATACCACAGCACAACACGCCCAATATATAAACTGGGGGCAGTTACCCAGAAGGGTTAGATCACTGCTCGGTAGGGCTGGGTATCGGTCAGCAGGTGGTGAGCGGTTGTATTCTCTTCCCTTGTCAGTTCCCTTATCATTATTATTACTGGTGGTAGCAGCAGTGGTTTTGTGTTATACCTTAGTTACTGGACTGTTCTTATCTCAGCCCGTGGGAGTTACATCCTTTTAGTTCTCCTTCCCATCCCTCCAGGAGCGGGGGGAAGGAGAAGGGGGGGAATGACAGAGAGACTGTGTGGCTGACTGAGTTTATACCAGGACACCAAGTGATGCAAGAGTATTTTTCACGCCTCATGACAGAATTATCTTCACACCTGCTTCACCCATGAAACACAGAGATCCTTAATCTCAACAGCTGTGCACTTAGCATTAGGTCACAGAAGAAGCATTCCTACGGTTTTGGTGAGATACATAGATAAGAATTTATAGCTTTCTGTGGGCATATCTGCATTTAACATATGACAAATGACATGAAACACAAACTTCACCTGCCATTTTAAATAGAGCTTGATCCCTGTTCAAGGCCAGGTTGGATGGAGTCTTGGGTGACATGGTTTAGTGTGTGGTGTCCCTGATCATGGCAGGTGGGTTAGAACAAGATGATCTTCAGGTCCTTTCCAACCCTTACTATTTATTCTGTGAGTCTATGTTGGCATGATGTTGTTTTGAAAGACATTTACTTCCACTTTCAAAAGCAAAGCACATAAAAAAATAAAAGGAACGATGCCTAAAATAATATCTTTTATTTGCCATTCTTCACATAATCAGACAAGCAATACTTTCTGGTTTTCCTGCTGTCCTGGGTTCAGCAGTAGCAGTCATGTTTCTCCTTCTTGGTAGCTGGTGCAGTGCAATGTTTTGATTTTCGGCCTGGGAATAGAGCTGATAGTGATGTTTTGGTTTGGCCAAGGACTTTGTGAGCCTCATGGTCTGCCAGGGAGGAGGGGAAGCCGGGAGGAAGCAGGGACAGGACACCTGACATAAACTGACCAAAGAGGTATGCCGCACCACAGCACGTCATGCCCAGGATGTAACTGGGAGTTAGCCGGAAGGGCTGGTAGACGGCAGGGTTGGAGGAGGTATCGGTCAGAGCTTGGTTGGGCTGAGGGGGGTGAGTTATCGGTTGGCTGGTGGTGAGGTGTTGTATTCTCTTCCCTTGTTATTTCCTTTATCATTGTTATTATTGGTAGTAGCAGTAGTGATTTGTGTTTTACCTTAGTTACTAAAACTGTTCTTATCTCAACCCGTGGGAGTTGCATTCTTTTCGATTCTCCTCTCTGTCCCTCCGGGAGTAGGGGGAGGGCAAGAAGGGGGGGGAAGTGAGTGAACAAGCCATCTAGCTGGGTTTAAACCACTACACATATTTGCACAACTACATCTGATCCAATATGGCCAGGTTTATAAGGACATAAATGTGATTCCTTCTAGGGTGCTGTGTACCAACTAACTTTAAATTGTTTATATGCAATTTCTGTTCATTTTTACATGCAAAATGTGTGCTATTGTATCCAGATAATTAAGGTAACTTTGAATAATTAACAAATACACATTTCTCTCTCTCTTTTTTTTTTTAATTCACTTTTCAGCAAAAAAAAAAAAGGCTTAGTGAATCAGGTTTGTCTTGCACAGAACCACAGCACCCCTCACAGTTCTCGCATTTGAGAATGAAAAGATACAAATCCTGAGCCGTTATACATGTATATATATGTATAGTTACTTAGCATGTGTAACTGCTGTGCAAGGAGTTTTACAAGTAACAGTGAGAAAC